CCCCAAAACCCCAAAACCCCAAAACCCCTTAAAGGATAGATTATATTGAATAAAATAAATGAATTCAAGTGACAACAAACATTATATCAGAGGATTCATCTGTATCTTCGGAGGTATCTGCATTCACCTGTTCCTTGGGTGTCTGTTTCTTTATGGAAATATCCAGGTGTACATTACTTCATATTTCCACATTTATGACCCTAGCATAAACCTGAACAAAACTGTCATTATTGCAACAATTATGGGTGTGCTACAAGGACTCACCGTCATCTTCGGACCCTTCGTGATGAAGCGTGTGCACCCCAAACTCATTCTGCTTGTTGCAGGGTCCATAGGGGTCGGAGGCATATTCGGTTCGACTTTCATGACCAACTTTACTTACTTCGCTATGTTGTTCAGTCTGTTTGGACTGTCGATGGGCTTCTGATACCTGCCTCCATTGCTGTGAGCCTGGGAGTATTTTCCTGAGCGCAAAGGCCTCATCACTGGAATTGTACTTGGTGCATTCGGGTTTGGAGCTTTTGTGTTCGGGTTCATATCGTTTGCTTTGGCCAATCCGAATAACCACACTCCACAAATAGAAGTTCCAGGCGGTAAGATCTTTGGGCCTGAAACAGCTGAAGCTCAGGGAGCAATGAGAATGTTAAGAATAAATTGTGCAATTTGGTTTGGGCTGATCCTCACAAGTGTGATTTGTGTTACAAAGAAACCTAAACAATCAGAAACAATAAAAACAGAAGAAGAGACAACAGAGCGACCAGAGTCACCTCAAGAGAACATTCCGATATTGAATGCATCAGATACTATTATGACAAGCTCTGATGGTAACAACTTATCAAATATTAAATCTGGCAGCACTTCTTTATGAATCAAAGATCCGAATGTTAAAAGTGTGAATACTCCCAATATTCCATTTAAAGCCGCTTTGAAAGACTACCGAACATACTTGGTCTGCGGATCAATCTTCTTCTCTCTGATTCAGTCCTCATTCGTGAACGTGAACTTCAAGAACTATGGACTCAAATAAAATTCCAGATGACCAATTTATCACACTAGTGGGTACACTTGGGTCGGTGTTCAACGGGCTTTCAAGAAGTGGATGGGGATACTTAGTTGACAAGTTCCAATTCAGATTTGTATTTGGAGCGATCCTGGTTGTTCAAATGGCGATTGGATTCTCCTTCCAGTTTATTGTTGAAGTCAAAGCTCTTTACCTCATATGGGTCATTATAACATATGCCTGACTTGGAGGCCATTTTGCAATGCCTCCTAGTGTGTTCGCAAGGATGTATGGCCCAATCACAGGAGGGAAGATTCATGGTGTGCTGTACATTTGCCTCGTACCAACCAGTTTCATTACCTTGCTTTTAACCTCAGTGGTTGCAGATGCAATAGGATATGGGTGGGTGTTCTTTATCTCAGCTGGGTTCTCTTTCATTGCTTTATGAATTATAGTTTTTCTAAATGAAAGGAAATAAAGATATTTTGCGATTTCAATCCAATCATTGCATTTTGGGGTTTTGGGGTTTTGGGGTTTTGGGGTTTTGGGGTTTTGGGG